GGAGAGGGGGGATTGCTTTTGGTTAATCATTTTCAAAATGCAATGACTACTCTATTATGTTCTGTCGCTCCAAGAGATGAACCTACTGCTTTTAGGAAAAGCAGGCGACGACAAGAGTAAAAAGGTTTTTTTTTTTCTGCTGTTTGTGTGGAGAACTTGAAGCAGCAAAAGTCCCATTGCTAATAATAATTATATAAAAAAAAAACAACCTTCAAAAAGGAAAATCACATTGCCCCCGTGTGCACTAATAAGAGAAATGTTAGAAATGTGACTCACACTATGAATGGCAATTAATTACTCTCCCGTGCACCTGTTCCCCCAAAGCACAATCCTGCTCCTCCCTGCTATATACTTGCTTGTCTCCATCCCACTGCCTCCCCCTTCTTCTTCTCTGCATAACACTTCGAATACTTCTGGATCACAACATTTGGATAAATTTCGGGTAAAATTTTGGAAATTTTTGGAAATTTTTGGATAAGTTTTGGATAAGTTTTGGATAAATTTTGGATAAATTTTGGATGATGTTTGGATAAATCTTCAATACCTTCACTTTTTTTTTTTTTTTTTTTTTTTTTTTTTTTTCACTTCTGATGCATCACAGTCTGGATAACCCTTAAAGGGCATTTGAATATGAGATGTGCTGAAGGGCCTAGCTCAGTCTCGGCACCAATGAATTGTTGAAAGACAGACCTGAGTTCGACTCCGAATGGAACCGGACGAATGAAATTCCTGAATTACCGGGAGCCGCTCAGTTAAAAACTGGTACCTCAAGACCATCGCCCTTTTTTTTTTCTTGTTTTTTAACAAAAAAGGGAAGGGAATATGAGAGTTTGAATCTTTTGATAACATTTGCAGATTTTTGGAACGATGATGAAATGTTTCATAAGTTGCACCAGTTATTAAAAAAAAAAAAAAAAGTAAAACAAAAAGGTGCATCAGTTATTAAACCACCAGTACACTCCCTAAAGTCGTGCCCGTTAACGCGCCACGATTTTAGGAAACGTACAGGCCACTACATCCCACAACTAGAAATGTTTCTACTCTATGTTTTTTTTCTGCGGCCGATAGCTGGGCCAAGTACTGGTGCTTTGACTTATTAATAGTTATTTAAGTTATCGATCGTGGTCAACGACATATGCAGTGGGTTTTTCATGTAAGGTCGCAGAACATAGTTTTCAGCTTCAGAAAAAAAAAAAAAAAAAAAAAAAAAAAAAAA